TTAGCGCAATTTTTCTTAATACTAAAAATATAAACCTTAACTTTGAACGTTTCCACTCACGGTTTGAGTCTTCATCAGCAATCTTTCACCTTAGCGTAACGATTAGAGTATTGCATGACAAAATGATATCTCCAACGTTTTTCCTCTCAAATATTAAACCGTTTACTGTTGTGAGGTAAGTCACATACTCACAAAGTTAGAAAGCTGAGTGGGGCAATGAGAACTCAAGCTCACACAGCTCACACGCTTCTATACTGAACAATGAATCTCTCTTATTTAATATTTTGTAACTCGTTAATATGTTATAAATTATCGTCAAATTTAAAAAAATAACTGCGAGAACAATATGTGTCTTGTCGTTTCGACAGTCGGTTAAATAATTATTTAGCTTTGCTTTTTAACTTTGTGAATATGTGACTTACCTCACAACAGTAAATGGTTCAATATTTGAGAGGAAAAACGTTGGAGATATCATTTTGTCATGCAATACTCCAATCGTTACGCTAAGGTGAAAGATTGTTGATGAAGACTCAAACCGTGAGTGGAAACGTTCAAAGTTAAGATTTATATTTTTAGTATTAAGAAAAAATTGCGCTAACTGGATAACCAGCGTCGACTCCTATTGCCTGTAATACATATATATATTATGGTTTTATTAATTATTTTAATTAACCCTTACCGGCCACACCTCAGCCCGGCCACATCGCGGCCACACCGGGGTACATAGCTAAAAAAATTAGTTGTACAAGATATATGGGTATTTTAAGATTTCTAATCGATTGTTTCATGTTTGTTGAACAGTTCTTCAACATTTCTAATGATTTATATTAGTCAATTTATAGATGGCGCTCTAAAAACTGGTCATATATGTGAAAATTCGGTAAAAATGACTTTTTTCAGAAAAAAATTCATTACTCCGCCATTTTTCAATATTAAGGGCTAAAATTTTAGGATTGTACGCACAAGATACACCACTACCATAAAAAAATAACAGTATACGCCAATCTTTTAAAAAGTATATTTATTTTGCAAAATTACGGTTATGAGGAAAAAATGAAAACGTCGAGAAAACGAACGCTCAAAGCGCCGCCATGCGATTTTTCGGCTTCCTATATAATGGAGTCACATCTCACACGTGTCTACTAGTGATGTCGATACTTGTATCAATTTCAAATCATTTCATTTTAGACCTCTAATTTCACTTTTCCTAAGCCTTGGGGTATAAAGTCACCCCGTGTGGCCGCTAAGGGTTAAAGGAGTCTGTAAAAACTTATTAGTTTTTATATTAATTTGTAATTTATCATTATATATATATATATATATATATATA